ATAAGTTACATCCATTGCACTTGAATGAAAGTATTCAAAAATAGGTCATCTTGAAATGTAGCTCAACAGGATAACAAGTTCTTAATATAATCAAAAATTTAAACTACCTTAGAAGTCATGTGGGTCCAACCATATTATTTCTCAGGTGAGAAAACAAGCTAGTAACTTTTATCCAGTGTCAAACACATTCCAGTGGGAGAACTCCAAGGTTCTTTCTATGGACTACATCAGTGCTGCTTCTACTAAGTTAAGGAATCTGTATATTAGGTTTCCCCTAGCACGGCCTTCTCTCAGGCTTTACACAGGTAGTAAAAAATTTGCTCTGCCATCCTTCAGTGCTTTGAAGATTTCATAGAGTTCATGCTTTTTACAGGATTGAGTTACAAAGAGTTTTTTTGAATTCTACATAAGTCTAAAGTAGTAGTTCAATCAAAAAACACGTTAGAAGACTCTCCCTAAGTGGCAAAAGGCAGATATAAGTTCCTTAAATGTAAAAAAGTTAGGTATGGAAGAATGAAATTTAATGATCCCAAGTGTACTCTTAGGTTATCTAATTAAATGATATGCACAGGTATACCTCACTATAGGTAAACACAAAAGAAAACTGGTTGTGCAAAAACAAAATAGGATGGACTTTTTTACCTACAAAACAATTTTCCCTTTTGCAAAATACTTGCTTTGGAATTCATTCAAGTATATCCTTATAAACATTAAAGTATTGACTGAGACTGGGAATTTAAAACTTTTTGTAGAAATGTATTAATAATAGAAAACATTAAAGTTGTTTTGCCAAGTAGCATTGATTCAGAAGTGATTTTGACTGTCTATTCATGACATGTAAATATTTGTTTTATATTCCTTCCCAGTGTTTCATTAGAGAATCAAAACTACCTTTTGGATTTTCAGCTTTGCATTTTAAAAATGTCTAAATGGTTTAATTAATGGTGGATTTCTGGTACTAATTTATCTTTATTTTTCTTGGCTGCTTGAAGGACAGTAACCTAATGTGAATGTTCAGATTTTACTGTCCATAACATGTTTAGGGTTTGATTATTTGTAGCCAGCCCAGCCTTGCACATAGATTCAAGACAACTTATAAACCTAAACTTCCCCCCACCCATTATTGGCTATTTTCATTCATTCTTACTGTTGAGTATTGTTAAAATGTCTGTCGTTTTTCCATGATTACAAATTCTCATAAAAGTGTTCTAAATGTTAATGGAAAAGACATGAACTGATAACAATTTTTTGTAGTCTCTTTGGTTTCTTTTGAGCTCTGTACTTGTTCAGGACATTAATCTTGTTCCTTAAATGTGTGATCTCAAAGGAACACCATAGAAAAGAGCTGTCATTATAGTTAATGAACAGTCAGTACTTACATTGCTAAAATATAAATTACAAATGGTACGTTCTGGTTAAAATTATCTTTTTTTTTTTCTTCAAAATTCCTTTTTAGATGTTCTTTGAAGATCATATTGATGATGCCAAATATTGTGGTCATTTGTATGGCCTTGGTTCTGGTTCATCCTATGTACAGAATGGCACAGGGAATGCATATGAAGAGGAAGCCAACAAGCAGTCATGACATGAAATAGTCCTTTTATTTTTATTTTATTTAAGCTACACACATGCTTGTATATAGGTTTTATCTCTGGTTGAATCCTTGACAATAGACAGTACCTTTCTTTTTTCCCTTTCATAGCCCATTTTATTTTCTGCCTTTCAGTACTAAGTATGACCGTTCCTATCCCAGATCTTAATAAACAGAAACGCATTCAGGTTAAATTTGGCCTTAATTTAATATACTTGTTAGCAAGCGTGTGTAACAGTGGGGAAAGCTATATCATATTGAATATTTTGATAAACTTTACCTACTTGAGCTTGGTTTATTTTTCCCTTTTCCTAAATTAACTAGCACTGACTGTAATTTATATCCCTGTTTCATGTCTCTCCCTTCCATTCTGCAGGAGTTTTAGCTATTTGAGATTTGTGGACCATCAATTTTGCACTTTAGAGAGTGATTCTGACTCAAATCCTCTGTTTTATCAGAAATTTTGGTTTTCCTTGCTCTTAGAAGAGCGAGATGGAAAAATGACCATCTGCCAACTTTATACAGTATTTGCTTATTTTTTACCCACAGAATATAGCACATTCATTGTGCAAACTCAGCAAGACTAACAACAATTAAAAAAAGACAAGAAACTACTGAGGAGCTTAGTAACCTGCTGTTTCTGTACGTAGTGTTAATCTTCCAAGCACATCTAGTGTCTGTCAGTTTCTAATTGGCATGTGTAGGCTGCTCTGTGACTGAAGAATTTTCAAACCGGCTTTACACCCTTCAGGGAAAATCCCTTGTAATTGGATGTTTAATATCCACCAGGAAACTGGTGTTCAAGATGTTGAAGCTACAGTTATTTTATGATAGCACACTTCCCTTGATCCGCTTCTTTTTATTCCATCACTGTTTACCCATGCTTTTTTATTTTATAGCCATACTTATGATGCTCTTGATTTGTTGAGAACACAAATCAATTTTATTAAAATCCAAAGATAAAAAGACTAGGTATATTTTGTACCAAATTAAATTAGAAGACAAAAATTGTGCTTTCATAGTTGCTACAAAGATAAATAATGGAAAGATTTGGTGCAAAACAACAAAATATATATATACATATTCATATATATATAGCTAATAAAATTACCTGAGGAGTGTAATGCTTGTTTATTTTTTTGTGTATATCTTTGCAATCTATTTTATATATATTGACAAAAGAAACTGTGAAATATTTAGCCATGCAGAATATGTGACCAGACCAGAGCATGTGTAGGAAGACTTTTGGTAATCATTAACTCTACCCTGAAATGATGGACTACAAGTTAAAATGTGTGTTATCTACACGTCAATCAGTAATATTAGCAACTCTCCAAATTTTAGACACATTGGTTTGTTTCCCTTGTACATTCTTTAGTCATGATATAATGCTGTAACTGGGTGGTCCTTTTTAAACAAAACATTATTTGCAAAACAGAGGGTATTATTTGTTTTTAAAGCTTTTGTAAATAAAGGCTTCAGAAATGTTTTCTTATATATGTTGATGACTGGTGATTTTTAGAAATATTTATTTGGGGAATATTCTTTTTTTATTTGGGCAGCTGAACAGAATTCAATAACTTCCTTCATTAGCCATAGGTGACTATTAGTCCTTTAACTGAAAAATCAATTTTACCCTTCTGCACACCAAGAGTGTAGGCCTATTGTTCCTCATGAGTACCTCGACTAGGTACCATTTCTATTTCTACCTTCTAGGAATGCATTTATTTTGAAGAACTTACAAAATAAGTACATTTTTGGTATAACTTACTGTGGCTTCTTTTTAAAGCTGACACAGTGCAAGTTTCTAATTGGTTTCTTTTCATTTTGCTCTTCACCTACTTAAACAAAATAGGGATTATGAAGTCCCTATTTTGAATAGCCACATAATTGCTGAATTTTGTAACTTGTATCAATTTTGGTTTCTGTCTCTGAAAGTACAAACAGTCCCTGACTTATGATGGTTTGACTTAATGATTTTGTCTTTTAGCTTGCACAGCCTTAAGTATTTACTCTGGAACCTTTTCCAGAAAAGGTTTGCCTACCCCTCTACTAGAGGTAACTTAAGGTTCGGTGTCTGTCCTCGCTGCCATTTCATCTGCATTGCCAAATGCAGTGGCTCCTTTGGGTAAACAACCTGGGGTGGAATCAAATTATGAATACCTAAGATGTGACCTCACTTCTATAAAATGAATGTGTTGGAGTGGAAATATGTGTTGTATTGACTAAGTATGTGCAAGAGGGTGTAAAACACTTGGTTAAGATTAAGCCAGGTGGTTTTCTACTCAGTTTACACAGAAGGATCTTACCTAGAGACATACGTTATTTTTGAAAAATCTTGTTGAAATGTGTCACTTCTGTGAAAATATCCGCAGATCACAATTTGTAGCCTGTGGCGGGATGGGAAGGTTGAACTGGGAGATACTTTCATCCTGGTTTACAGTGTAAGTTGCTTTACATTTACCATTTTCTGAGGTAGGTTTGTATGTAGGTTTTTTTTAAAAAAAACCCTCACTTTGATAATACAAGTATATGCAAAAATATACAATACAGTATGACTTCAGAGTCAGCCCAGCAAATTTACGTGTATCTCAAAACAGGGAAGATTTGCTAGTTTATAATATAATGGAGTAATAGTTTTTTCATATGTTTTCTTGAAGCATGAATCACATGATTGCTAGCCTTTTTATAAACGTGATTTATACCTTTGATTTCACTAGTTAAGATAGTTGTCAAACATATGCCATATTTCCAATTGTTGTCTATTGATTACAGTGTACTTGAGTTTTATAGTCTACTTGTCCTCAGTATCATTTAAATACTGAGTAATTACCCTCATCTTTCCACCACCCTTCCCCAAAAAACATATTATGTCCATGTTGTAGACATGAATTTTGCCATTAGTAGCCCTGTTAAACAAGAGAGAGTATCTTTAAAGTAATTTATATTGTCAGTACAAAGTATACAATTTCATATAGACAGTTAATGAAGGTGACCAACCACTTTATTTGGGTACATGAGGAATGAATTCATGGATATGCTCTTCCTTAAATGCACTGTCATTGTAGTCAGATGCAAATGGTTTTAAATTTACCTTTGAAATAACAATCCTCTTCCATTATGCAATAGCAAATAGTTGACTAAGGTATATGAAGTATTTCTACAATATTTTTAAATGAAAAATTTTTTAAATCTTGATTCCTGTATGATAAAATCTCTAAAAACAAGAAAAGTCAAAATTATCAGAGTAATGGACAATCAGAACAGTTGAAGTATGTTTCTTCAAGTTTGAGTTAAGCTATTAAATTTTTTAAAGTAAAATACTTAAAGGTAAATTTTATAAATTTGCCTCTTAAGGTAAAGTTTTATAAATATGTACAAAATGTAGGTCTATTTATTTGGTACTTTGTTCACTCAGATAAATTTATACTGCATATTAAATGAGCATACATCATCTCTAAAAATTATAACCTGTTACAATTAAAAACAAAACTGAACAAAAAACCCTTTGAAGGTTATTCACTGTATGAAAACAGAAAGGGAACCATTACAATAATGAAAATTTTTAATTTTTTAAAAACTTTTTGAAATCTGCTTTTAATCTGTATTGACTTATATATTTAAATAATTACATAAAAGACCGAAGGGAAGGGGGTAGATTAACAGTACTGTAGCAGAGTATAGGATAATAAAAATTCCATCTTTTCTAGCTTTCAGTTTGGCAAAAGGGATTACCTAACAATCCTGTCCAGGAAAACAGCTATAGTAATGTGCTTTGAAAAAAAAAAAAATCTGGCTGCATATAATTCTTAATACATCATGTGCTGCTGTTACCTTAAGACTTCTAGCAGTAGCTTATACATAAGTTCCAGTCTGGCACTTCAGGTAATAAAAAATGACCAAAAAGTGCTTTAAGATAAAAGTAAAAATGTATCGTATATTCTGAGATTTCTTGAAGCAGATTGTCAGATCAAACTCTTTAGTTTAAAAAAAAATCTGAAAAAGACTGCCATCCTACTGTTCAAAGAATTGCATTCAGTGAACTATAAGATGGTTCATTTCTGACATTGGTTCATTCATAAGCACATTTAATATAAAACTACATTTTTAGCAAGGATGAGTAATTGTACAGATCTTTTACTCCATTATCTTCTGGTCTTCTAGTTTATTTTGTGTTGAATTTTTGTCTTAACAAAGATTTTGGAAAATGTATTACCATTTTCTCTTTGATTAAATACCATTTTCTCTTTGATTAAATACCAGTTACTTAGCTGTGTAGTTTTAAAAGGTAATCTGCTTTAAATACTCAAAATCAGTACCAAAAAAGTATACAGCTTATTCTAATTGTTAACTTTTACAAAATGTATACTTCATTCAAATAAAAAAAAAATAAAACTTTTTTCTTTTTTTAAATAGTGCATACAAGGCACAAGAGCTTCTTAGTATTAATATATATACTGAAGCTGAACATTTTGGCATCAACAGACACACCACTCTAGTTTATGTTAAACTAAATTTCCAAATAGCATGCCATTTAGTTCCTGTTAAACTCAATTTCCAAAATTACATGATTTTTGTTTAATGATTTGCATAATTTAATCTTAATGGGTGTTTGAAGAAAAATATAGTTTAACTATCATAGTTTTGATGAGAGGACACACATAATATAGGTATCAACAGAGGATTAATCTGTTGACCTATTAGGAATTCTTAACAGAAATTCGGTATTTTTACTATGTTCAAGAGGAGAAATAACCTAAAAAGAGATTTCTAAAAAGCCAAACAGATAAAAGAATGCCATAAAACAATTTTCATAATTGTTATTGTGAATTTTCCCCCTAGAAGAGATGAAAATATATTTCTGATGTAATAGTAATGTATTAGTTTTGACAAAAGTTTTTTTAGCCAGTTGCTTTATCAGTGAGCCCAAGCTTCAATGTTCACCTTTATTTTCCAGCAGGGAACAAAGACTGGAATTAGATTAGTCTGGCAAAAATGGATGGGGTTCTTCAACTGTAGGTCACTTGGACTTTGGACTTTGTAATGAATTCATGTTTATTACAGGCCACTCAGTCTGAAGCTGGACTCACATCAGAGGGGGGAAAAAGAATATCTTAATAGTCTCAATTTTCTGACTCAGAAAATTAGATGAGTAATGGGTTTTATGTGATAAACTGTGCTGCTCAAATATTTGTTGAAAACTGGCCCATGAATTTATTCTAGGTTTTTGATAGAAGATATTTTCCCTTTTGATTGATTAATTTAATTAATTAAATATTTTAATATTTAATAGGGATTTGTGTTAGTTGTAACAATCTGTATATTGGATCAAAAATGTGTTATATTTTAAGCAACAGCTTGGAGACAACTAATTGATTCATATTCTGCATATCCAGCCAAAGGAATATAGGACAACTGACCAATGGCACCTTCCTATGGGAAGTTGCTTCCATCCTTCTACAGCATTGATACCTTGAAATGAAACAGAAAACATGAAAATATTGTGTTAACCATAAAAAAGTCCACAACTAACTAGATCGTTCATTACTTGTTGCAATAACATCCTTCATTATAACTGATTTCTATGCTAAATGGCTCAGTAGACACGTTCTTGAATACTGACCTCTAGATCAGTGCTTTTCAAACCTTACATATACAAAAAGGAATCTTATGAAAATGCAAAAACATGTAGATTCTGATTTAGTAGATCTAGGGGAAGGCCCAAGATTCTGCATTTCTATCAAGCTTCCAGGTGAAGCTTGTGCTGCTGTTGAGCGGCCACAGTTTGAGTGGCAGGGTTCTATGTTCTACATTTGAGGCCAACTGGAGTTTGGGAGTGGCAGCTGAGTTGGAAAGGAGATTTAGGGAAATAATTTTGAAACTTCATGTGCATAGAAGCACAGTATTTTTTACTTACATTGTATGAGCAGGGGGAATTAGGTAAGCTAAATTCAATCCATATTTTAGTACCTCTATGAGTTTAGGCACATCATAACTATCTGGAAACTGCTGAACTAAGACATTTTATGAGAAAGGCCACAGATCATTCACTAATATAATTTAAAACAAGAAGAAAAAGCTTGATAACATTTAGTAACATGATTAAATTAGGCACATCAATATCAAGCTATTATTCAATATAAGTGTAAATTGAATGAATTGCAAATCTGAGATGTAAAGCAGGAAAAACAATTTTTAAAAGTCTAGTATCTATTAGCTACCTTAGGAAAAATTTAATTACAAAACCAAAACATTTTACCACCACTAGTTATGTCAATAGAATGGAAACTATAGTATCAGAGAATCATTAGGATTTTTTAGGTCTATGCAGCTGATTCATGCTGCTATTTGGTTATTATGACTACTAATGTCAAATATTCAAATAAAATCAGGTTCCTATGAGAGTTTTAATTTCAACGTTGTTATTTTGTCACCTATCAAATGTTTATTGAAAACCTATGTTCTGGCACTATGCAGGTGTTGAGGACAGTGATGAGCAAACATGACACTGGTCTTGTATCAAAATACTGGAGAATCTAGATGACTTATACACAATGTTCCCATGTAAATACGTAAAATATTTAATACACAGAAAAACTTGTAATAACACTGACCTCACAAACAATGGTAATTATAACTAATAATTTGAGACACTGAAAAATCCTGTGAAAATTTTATGTTTTGCAAAACTCTGTTCTGTAAAATACTATTTGTTGTATTGGCTAGTGATTTATATTTGTATGTTCATAGTTACATTCTAAGAATTATTTTCAGAAATTTAATAATGTCTCTTGGCTATTTAACCAAATTAAGAAGATTAGATTCTCACTATCCTAAGCATAGTTAGGATCACTCTGATCTGCTGTATCATCGTGTATTCAGAGTTGATCCTGGTCTTCCCAAAGTGGAAACACCACTCAACTGGCAAATTGCCAGATCAACATTTTGCTGTGATTACATGGCTGGTCACCAAACGCAAAACAAAGCAAAAAATAAAAACATATCCATGAAGTACTTTGACACAAATGATTTTGTTTTACATGCTAATCTCTTGCTTCTCCTAGACTTTAGGATTCTAGATTGCAGTTTTGTAAATGAGAGTTGTTCCAATAATGTTAATTATTCAACTTTTTATACTGCATTTATTGTAATAGTACATATAGTTGTTTGTTTATTCCAAAGAGGCTCCTTATTTGTAGCTTTCTACTGACTGCAGGTTTATAGACAGATTATGTTTTAAAGAAAATGATTTGGAACACCTATAGTTTTCAGTATAACAGAAGCTATTAAACGGTCCTACTGTGACCAAAAATTTAAATGACAGTGGTTTACACTAACAAGATATAAGTAGCTTCTACTTAGACCCAGAGAGATTCTGCTAACAGATTGTCAAGGATGTGACTATTGTATATTATATCTGAATGATAAAAAATAAAAATAATAATTCTATTATCCTGTGAAATGACAAGATAATTTTCATGTAAAGTTCCATATTTTAGGATTGATCCCTGTCATTTAATGCATTACTATAAAATGACTTTTTTCCATCAACTTATTTTTATAATTTATCAAATTAACCTAAATTTTATCTAATACTGAAGTTTAGCTCCGTGTCCAGAGGCCCCAGCATGACGAATGCAATTCTACAGGTGAGATAAGACATCTTCTAATATGACTCACTAGCAAATACATAATGATATTTATGGAAACTTTGCATTAAGAACACTAGAAAACTTTTAAAAATATAAAACATAACAATAAAGGGAAAACTTATCTTACTTTTATAAAGTATGAATTTGCTTTGCTTGAAGAGCTAAGTCTCATTCTCCATGGTTAATGCAGGATTGCTCATACCTTAATGGAAGAACATAAATTAGCATTTTTGGTTGCTTTTGAACAAACAGGCAGAGATTTGTTTATTCATCTATGAATTCCCCTCACCCTTCGCCCCCCCCCCAGTATGCTTCCAAAGATGCCTTGTACCTATGGGTGTTTATGATTACATAGAATCATACAGCCCCCCAATACAGTGTCAGCCACAACCAGCATTTCTGTCTCTTTTTCACACATAAGCACACAAGCTCACTAAAAATAATTAGAGATATACACCAAAGGAAGTAGAGGAACAAAATAATGAAAGATACACTGAGCCTGGCACTGCTCACATCACCTTAAATCAATGTTTCCTAATTCTTCATCTACCTACTTCATTCTAGTCAAACCAATCTTTGATGAGCCCTTTCTCATCCCACCTTCTCATTTCTCTTCTTTTACATCATCCTTTAAGCTTTAAAAATTTTCTCACTTCATCAAATTAAGAGAACAAAGAATCTAACACGCTAAATAATTAACGGCACATAAAAATCAAGAAACCACTTCTAACCAGGTGCTGTGACTCATGCCTGTAATCCCAGCTACTCAGGGAGCTGAGGCAGGAGGATCATTTGAGACCAGTCTGGGGAACACAGAACTAGTCTCAAAAAAAAAAAAAAAAAAAAAAAAAGAAAGAGAAAGAAAGGCAAAAAACCACTTCTATGTTAGTGTTGACTATGTAAGATGAAACAAGAATCCCTTCTGGAAAAAAAGGAACTCTTTGGTTTTCCAGCCCCGAACAATTGGCCCCCAACTGTATATCATTCCTTTGCCTCTAAGGAAACTAGTGGATTCACACGGTAAACTGGTGTCATCGATTTTGGTTAAGACAACACCTAGTCCTTCCCAGAGATTGGAAAGTGAAGTGGTGCTTTAGAGGCTGAAGAGAGTGACCAAATTATGAATACTCAAATCATGGGGATCTTTGGAGAGCATATATATTCCTTAAAAATAAGACTTTTTAAAGAAAGCTTATATTTTAGGAGAATATGACTGATTATATATTAAATAATGACTAAAATTTTTACTCAAGACCATCTGTTTTTCACTAACACTAAATCCCAGAGATTTCAAAGAAACCAGTAAACACTTGAAAGTGCAATGAGCCGAAGTCAGGCTGCTTGAGAGTTTGAAGAGACTAGAAATGAAGGAAATAAGGTCTGAAAAATTAAGTTAGTCAATCCAGAAATTTTCTGGAAAAGAGTCCCTTAATCATGGATGTATGGTTTTACTCATTTATATGGACACCACACACATATATATATACACCTGCATATATGATCACACCATTTTGTTTAATCCTTACCAACCCTGAGAAATAGGTATTATTTTAAAGATAAGGAAGCTACGTCTAAAAGAGGTTAGGTAATTTAACAAATATCACACACTAATAGGTGTCCACGCTGGGATTTGAAATCAGGTCTGACTTAAAACCCTTACTTGTTCTTTGCTAATAAACTGTATGGACTGAAGTAATCAAAAGATTAAAATCAACAACAATAACGAGAAATGTGAGTGGGATGTGAAGAAATCACAGGCAGCTTAAGTTATGATAATTACACAATCACTTAGACATTTTGAAATTGGAGAAAAATCTTAGAGTAAAAGACAGAAATACAGAATTTAAGATACCTTTCAGCTTTCAGCAGATATTTTTCAACCTATTGTCTAAACTGATTGTATTTTTTTGCATTTTTATGCTTTGTATTTTGAATTTATTTCTATCATTTAATGTGCAGTGATAAAGTTAGTTTTTTAAACTGGAAAAAAGCAATGTACATCCATTTTTCACAAAATGATTTTCTACTGCTAACATATATTAAAGTACCTCACAAACAGAAGTTCTTTGAAAATAATTTTACATTTACAATAGGAGTCTGACTCCAAAGTAATAAAAAAATTTTGCTTGAGTTCTTTGTAGATTCTGGTTATTAGCCCTCTATTGGATGTATAGCTCAAGAAAACAAACCACCCCATTAAAAAATGTGCAAAAAGACATGAACAGAAGCTTTTCAAAAGAAGATAGACAAATGGCCAATAAACATATGAAAAAATGCTCAGTATCACTAATCATTAGGGAAATTCAAATTAAAACCACAGTGAGAACACCCTTCCCCTGTTAGAATGGCTTTTATTAAAAGTCCAAAAACAAAGATGCTGGCATGGATGCAGAGAGAAAGGAATGCTTATACACTGTTGGTGGGACTGCTATTAGTACAACCTCTGTGGAAAACAGTATGGAGATTCCTCAAAGAACTAAAAGTAGACCTACCATTTGATCCAGCGACCCGACCCCACTACTGGGTATCTACCCAAAGGAAAAGAAGTCATTTTATCAAAAAGACACCTCCACTCAAATGTTTATTACAGTGCAATGCACAATCACAAAGATGTGGAATCAACCCAAGTGCCCATCAATTCATGAGTGGTTTGACAAAATGTGGTGTATGTCTACCATGGAATACTACTCAACCATAAAAAAAGATGAATATTAATGCCTTTTACAATAATTTGGTTGGAACTGGATACCACTATCCTAAGTGAAGTATCTAAAGCATGGAAATACAAACACCACATGTACTCACTATTAGATTGGAACTAACCAATGAGCACATGTATCCACAGAGGGAAGTAAAACTCAGTGGAAATTAAATATGTGGGGGCGTGGGGGAGAGGAAGGGTAAAAACCTACCTAATGGGTACAATCAACACTAGCTGGGTGATGGGCACTCTTAAAGCCATGACTCAAGCATTGCAAAAGAGATCTATGTAATAACCAAAAACATTTGTACCCCCCTTAATATTTAGAAATTTTTTAAAAAGTAAAAAAAAAGTAATAAAAATTCTGTAGGTAGTATAATGGATTTTTTCACTACTTTCACCTTTTAAAAGTAAAATATGTCAAAAGATAGCCAAACAAGCACACCCTTACCGGCTTTGCATTTTCCCGGGTTTGTGCTGCTCTCTGTCCAAGACTGTGAATCAGTAAGAAGGTGACTCTGGGACTCTCTCAATGGCTTTGCAGGAAATTGATGGTTTTCAGGACTGAATAATAATAATAATAACAACAACAAGTTAACTTTTGATAGTATTAAGTGTTTCTCAAAGTATGGAACTCAAACCATTTGTGATACAGGATGATTATAGGAGGTACCCCAGATAATTTGGGGAATACAAGAATGAGGCATTAAGTAACATTGACTCACAATGAGAAAAGTATTCTCTCTTCAGTCTCTTCATTCTTCTTATTACAATAAGATGACAATCTCTAACTCTGGCAAATCTCCATTTTTAATACAGAGAATCATCCTCAGCCTCAGAATTTAGCCAGTAAGGGAATCAAGTTAGAACTTAATCACAGTATTTTATTATCAATCTTATTTTTTAAAATTATAATCTATATACAGCAAGTCATACTAGTTTCTCATTTGTGACAGTGGCATAAAGTTTGGTTTAAAAATAAGTTTAAGTGCCAATTTAAAGAAATATGTTAAAGAAAAAGGTAATTTTTTAAGGGATATGTAGATATGGGAAAAAATAGGTAGATAACAGTAAGAAGACAATTTTGAGAAAAATTGACCTCGTGTTTCTGAAATGGCCTAAATGGTTTTGAACAGAGAATTCTCTATCTTCCTCTACAAAACTGAAACAACAAATTTCAGAACTATCTTGCAGGAATGTTAAAAACATCTGAAACTATCACATCTTACAAACTTGATCTTCCATTTGGGGAGCAAGGAGTCTTGAAAGCAAAATTTCCTTTAAAACTGAAGTTTTAAAATTGAGGTAGAAATGCTATGTATCAACATATTGGATGGTATGAAAAAAGATACATAATACAATATTTCTCTTAGGAAAAACTGTTGCCTTAGAAACTAAGTGGCATTTTAGAATATTCTGAAATAGTAATTAAAATAATGTTCCAAAGGAAACAACTACTTAAAATTCTTTCAAGAATAATTTCACATATTTTAGCTCAATTATATATAGTAGCTATTTTTTTTAAGAATTATAAGGATATGCTTTGTTCCTCAATGATTACTTCATATCTAAAATTTTTAAATATTTCAATTTTGTGCAGCTTTAACAACTCCTTATTAAAATTTTGGAGGTAAATCTTAAAAAATAAAAAAAAAGCATGTCTCCACACAGGCTTATACCTATCCATATTAAAAATTTCTTTCACTTTTTTTCCCTAACAAACATCATGAGATGGCATTTTACTTTAATTCTTATTATTCCTCAAGAAAGGGACCATACAATGAGAAAAGCACACTAACTAGGCCCTGGTATAGGGATTCTTTGGAGGTTCATTACTGCTAACAAGACTCTAAGCCAGGCTCCATTCATTCAACAATATTTACTGAGCACCTGTTACATCAACGAACAAAAGCCTTTGCTCTCATGAAGCTTTCACTGTTATTGAGGAGGAATGTTAAATTTTATGTATATATATATATATATATATATATATATATATATATATGTATATGTATACATATATATATGTATATATATATGTATACATATATATATATGTGTATATATATATATATATATATATTAAGTCAGGTGGCAATAAAAGCTATGACAATAGAAAAATATTAATATAAAATAGTCCAATGGGAAGCAGAGGAACAGGTTACCATTTTACAAAGGGTTATCGAAGACGGCCTGTATTGGGAAGTTACACCTGAGCAGAAAAGGTGAATGAAGAGAAGGCACAGAACATTCCACTACCTGGAGGAAGAACAAGAAGGAAGGGGAATTGGCAAATATGAAGATATTAATAGGGAACGTGGTTGGTATACTTGAGAAGCAGCAAGATCTGTGTGTCAAGGATTATGAGTGATGCACAAGTGATAAAGAATGACATCAGAGAGGAGTCTGGGGCCAGATCAGATGGTCTTGTGTCATCAAGGACATTCATTACCTTTTATTCTGAGTAAGATGGGAAACCAATAGAGTTTTCAGCAGAAGAATGACACAGTCTGATTTATATTCTTAGTGGCAAATAGATGGGAATGCAGCTAAACAGAAGTGGCAAGATCAGTGAGGAAACTATTGAAATAGTCCACGTAAGAAGTGATGGTGGCTTGGACAGGAAGACAGCCATGGAGGCGGTAGGAACGTGTTCACGTTATAGGTATGTTTTGAGGGGGCAGCTGGTAGGATTTGCAAATGGAGTAAACACAAGGTACACAAGGTATTTACTTGTATTTAAGTCATCTAGGATGACTCCACAGTTTCTGGCCTGAACACCTGGGTGAAGGAGGTCACTAAAAACTGATATATGGAAGAATGGAGGAGAATCATGTTTAGGGCAGTGGTAAGGATATAAATGTCTGGGAATCAAACTCAAAGTTCTGCTTTGAACCTGTTAAGTTGGAGATGACTTTTAGATGCCCAACTGTGTGTGTTGAGTAGGCAGTCAGATATACAACTCTGAAGTACAGCAGAGAGCAGGACTAGCCATAGAAATTTTGTATGAGCTCAACAAGAGAATTTTGTAGAAGAAAGAGACTTTAGCTGTCAAAATCTCAACATTTTAAGGAAAAGAAAGGAAAGGAAGAGAGACCTAGAAAGGTTACTTGACTTTTCAAAATCATCCATTTAAAAAATTAAAGACATAGTTATACTCAAATAAATCTGTCCTTATGATATAAAAAGTGGCTTTTCAAACCACTGAAAATTCACATATAGCATTTTAAAAGCTTAAGGAGTTATTCCTTTTGCCAGCTAGTTTGCAAATTCAGAATCAAATTTCAGGTCGTTCTGTTGCCATCCTCAAATTCTTGATAGACTGAAACAAACTAAAAGCTGGAGCAAGAGGCTCCAGTCCAGACAATGAATTTCCACGACCCCTCCCCTTCTCTCTCCACGGAAATGGCTCAGATAGTGCTTAGAGGTCTTTAAAAGAGCAGTGAGGATCTGGTGCGCATTGCTGATGGAATTGTCAAGCAGGTATCTGGGGTTGCATTTGATCTTCAAAATACTGATTGAGGAAGTTTCTTTGATCTCTATACCAGTTACCATGAGGGGAAAGACATGGAGGGTCAGAGGGAAATTTGCCCTGTCTGCTTACCTGAGCAATGGGGAGCTAATTTGGACTTACATTTTTTTCTTTTAATCACTACATTTAAAAAATAACAATATATTTCAGCCAACCAAAATGTATAGAGAATTAACACCTTTTTACCCACCACCTAGACTAATAACAGAATGTTACAAGCATAATGGAAGCTCCCCTTGTATTCCTCCTCAATCATAATCTTTTAGTTTCTGCATTCCAAGTGGAAACCATTACAGTAAATTATCACCTGTTCCTAATTTTTTTGTTAATGAACATATAACCAAAGGATACAAGAGGATAAAATACATTATTTGAAAGTAAAATGAAAAAAAAAATATATGAGATTACTTTTTAGCTGTTGAATTCAGTCCCGCAGGAGTAGATGGTTGTTCAGGATCCTGGTTAACAAGGCAGGTTGGAAAGGAGCAGCCATCCCCTAGACTGTAATTACAATTAAAACTTACAATTGAACCATAAAAAAGACAACAGAGTGAAACCCTGTTAAAATGCTGATGTCTGAGAGCAGAACATTTTACATCATAGGCAAAACATGTGTATCAGACATTGGCTTCAATATAGTGTTTATGTTTAGGAAGATGATGAGTTAGCTGATTCCCACATTGATATAATAATGAATCATAAAATAATATAATACTTTAAAAAATAGGAGTTCCTATGCAGAATTACAGACCTATGGAACTAGAGGCTCTTCCTGAAATTAGCTTTTGTTGGATTATTTTCATTAGTTTAAAGCCTGAAAAATTTCACAACAAAGTACCTTGAAAAAATGGGTAGCAACCAGTATTTCTTCTCATCACCAAAAACTTGTCGCATGTTTTTACTGAAACCCAAGCTGAATCCGTTCTTATCTGTTCCATGTCGAAATACTGGACTTCTGAATGCCTCTAAAAAAGATGGTAAAGCAAGCACATGAGTAAAGAACACATTTACTAGTAATCTCTAATATTTAGCAATAATTGCATTAAATGAGGAAACTCTGAAAATCAATGGCTAGGCACCTGTGGGTATGTGCCTATCAACAGTCCTGAAATATACCTGGTCTATTCTGCTTTAAAATATGATATATCAATTTAAAATTTTAAATAACCCTTTTATTAATATAGAAAATTAGAAAATACAACTAGCAAATGAATTAAAACTTCACATCTTATGAGTCATTTGATTAATAGATAGATGGATGGATGGATAAATATATACACAAATCTACGTTTTTAAACCAAAATGAGACTATTCTTTACAAATATTCTACAACCTGCATTTTAAATCAATAAACTCTGTTTTCCAATTTCATTGAAATTTTATCTCATCTAATCATAAAGCTTTTCCAGCTGACTAAAAAATGTACTTTAAAGCTACTTTGTCCAAACTAGAACCATAGACTGCATCTAGTTATGCTCATTCTTTAGAAATGAGAAATTTCTATGTTCCAACCACATGGATAGTTTCTCAAATATTCCTAGAGTTTTCCCTCATTTCCTATGGGGCTATTTGTTTTTAATTGAGATGAAATATACAGAACATAAAATTTGCCTTTTTAAAGCAAAGAATTCAATGATACTTAATATATTCACAATTTTGTGCAACTTCTACCTATATATCAAGTTCCTAAATATTTTCATCACCCCCAAAGAAATTCCATATCCATTAAGCAGTCATCCCCTACTTCCCTATCTCCCCATCCCCGGCAACCATTAATAGGATTTTTCTCTATAGTTCTACCTATTCTAGATATTTCATGTAACTGGGAATCATATAATAAAAAATCTTTGTGATCAGCTTCTTTCACTTGGCATGTTTTCAAGGTTCATACATGTTATAGCATGTATCAGTGCTTCATTTCTTTTTGTGGCTGAGTAATATCCCATTGTACAGATACGCCACGTTTTCTCCATCCTTTGATGAGCATTTGGGTTGTTTCTACCTTTTGACTATTGTGAATGTGCTACTGTGAACACTGGTATACAAGTATTGGTTTGAGTCTCTGTTTCTGATTCTTCTGGGTGTATACCTAGGCATTGAACTGTGGGCTCACATGGATATCTATGTTTAACTCTTTAAAGAATTGCCAGACTGTGAATAGGTTCCCTTCCACCATCCCCGATCCTTTATTCATCCCTCAGCATCTGTTTGTTTCCTTCAAAGAACTTTGCATTTGGTAGTTGCTTTTATGTTTGGTTGTTAATTTTTGTGCCACTCATTAGACTGTTTTGCCCTCGCTCACATATACATAGTGCTTCCAAACAATGGACAATCAATCAATATATGGAATGAATGACCTTGTATGTATGTATCTAAGTGACATACCACAAAAATGCAGGAAATAAGAATGCTTTTTACCACTTCAGGACAAGTTGGCATTTAATCATATGGCAACTGTCAATGAATATCTAGATATGTATTCAAAGCTCTGGCAACTGCAATAGTTGGATACTCACCTAATGTAGATTTATTTTTGCTGACAAGCCAACAATGATAGCCAAACAGAGAAGACAAGCTGACAGAAAACATAGCTGCAGCAAAGAATAAAAACATAATATGGAACTTGGCTTGAGTATCAGGTAGGCCATTCTATAAAGAAAGGAAGAAAATAAAATGTTTTGTCAAAGGGATATGTATTCCCCTACTTTTATAAGTAAATTAATAAGATTTTTTTTTTTGCTTAAAATTTTTCTTAAATTTAAATATGGAGAAAGATACATGGCTTTATATTGAAACTTTAGGGGAAATATATATATAAATATATATATTTCATCAGATTAAAATAAATGCTTGAATATGAATATATATGGAAATGATATTAAAATTCAGAATATTTTTTATATAACCAAATCATAGAAAAATTATGGTAGTGTATATGTATAAACTATAACAGTAGGAAGCAAGATAAAAGGAACTATAAAATATAGTTTTAAATTTATTTCTTGAATATGTTTTCTTAAAATATTATAAAGTCACAAATGTTTAGGTAGTTTTATTATAATGCCAGAAAATGAAGGTTAACTGGCACAATTTAGCTACTATTCTCACTGATGTTTTACATTACTACAAACAACAGCATCAAATAAAAGAATACATACAACACCACATTCACAATAATGAGTCAAGCTATTTTAAATAATAGCATCACAGAAAACATCAACATTAGTACCTAACACCTGTCTGAACCTTACAATATCCGTGGGCTGAATCAGTCCATCTCAAAGCAAAACCAGTTTGACTTTTGCTGTTTGTGTATCCAAGGAGACCTGGACTGGTGCTAGAATGGAGGGCTGGACGCTCTGGACACTGAGTGAAAAACCAGGACTGCCAAGAGGTGGCCCTTCTGATAAAAGGTCATGATGTCTCAATACCCTGTTCTACCTGACAGATGGACACAGGTCACTAGATCTCACTGACAATTTTTGACAGCAGGGTCTGTACGGTGAAAACTTTGGTCGTTCCTTTTCAAATATATTTGTGGTTTGGAACTGAAACCATCCACAGGAATAAGGAGCAGTGAGGTAATATTCTCTAGACATTCATTAGGGGTCATTCTTCAAGCTGGACACTAGTAGCATTCTTGAATGCTAGGACATGTCCCTTCACCCATGTATTCCTAAGTGCTCAGTGATGTAACTGGCACACAGTAGGCATTCAGTAACACTTTGGTATTAAGTTTGGCTCAAATCCCACATGAATGATCTAGAAAATCATTTCAGAAATTCTTATCATAATAAAGGATACTTTAATGAAAATAATAAAGCAATCCTGGAAGGAGATAAACTCCTTTTTATCATCATTTGGTTTTCACAAGGGGGATTTTTTCATATTTAAAATACTCAATTTTAATTTCTTTTTGCCTACATTTACAATATTTAGTGCAGAAAACAAATGAGTTACCTAAAGCCTAATCAAGCAATACCTAATAAAAATCCGGGACACTACAGACATGATAATTTAAAAAATAATCTTACACATAAAGAAATCATTTCTATTTTTGAATTTGAAAATAACTTATATAGTCAAATTCTCATTATTTGCAGTAGGTATATTTTATAAAGTTACTGTAAACACTGAATTTATGAATGCTGGGCTATTGCTCCTAGGGAAAATACAGGGTTAGGTTTCCATGGGCCTCTCTGGTCACACATCTTCATCAACTGATCAATACATAACCTCACTTTACGTGTGTTTCTGCTTAAAGGCACCTTATTGAATATATATTGCTGATTCGTTAATATAAAACTCACATCCAACAGCACTACAACTCACGCCTGAATTAAGTTTATCTAACACATGTAGTTTTTTTCAATAAGACATATCAGTCTTGTTTCACTTAGAAACACTAGACCAAACTTCAGCATTTAAAGACCATTTTTAACAGCAAAATCAACAAAAAGCACAAAAAGGCAAAAAACATGGCACTAAATCGACTGTGAGAAGCACACTTGTTTACAGTATGAGAGCTGAAACAAGAAGGCAGAGTGTCGCCTTGTTCAGCCTCAACTGGGAAGGTGCAAAAGGAAACTTAAATTTTTTGCCACTGTGCACACATCTGCAAATGACCACAAAAGCTCTGTCAGTATTGATTTGGGGGTTGCAAGTGCTTTTTAATGGAGTAAATTAACAAATATAGAATCTGTAAATAATAAGGACTAACTGCATATCAATGAGCTCTATTCTATAAAATCAGTGTGTGAAATAATTGTCTACTGAAAAGCCATATTAATTTTTTATACTAAAAGAGTCACCAAGGTAATGACTTACTGTCCAAAATTTGACAAAATACTGTAAATCTGTAGCCGCGATAAAAACACAGTAGAGCAGAGAATAAGCCAAGAAAAGGAGAAAGAATTTATAATTTGAAAATCCAACACAATTGTTCACCCTGTCAACAAAACAAAAATATTTTCAATGAGTTTATTATCTTCAATCTAGGTATGCATATGCTCAAGGTTAACATAGTGTTTAGTTTCTTCTCATTTTAAATTATTGTATTTTTTAAGTGTAACTCATAAGATTTCTTTATACATATAAACATTAAAAAATCCATTTCACTACAAAGAAATTTCTGTCTATATTTTAAAAATATGATATTTAATATTGATTTAATCCATCACAATGATTTTTCATATCCAATTATACAAATAAATACATACCTAAAAGCATAGAACTTGTGAGAAACTTAATCAAGTCAGGCAGATTAGAGGAATTTACTAAGCCCTTCCTCTATGTTATCTTTGGGTTTGATTTCCAAAATTGATTAAGTAAGTTAAAATCTTTTCAGTTTTCCCAAATTAGATGAAATATCTTCACAAACTACTCTTTGCATGCCATTACTAAAGCAACCAGATTGTCAAAGCATATTAAATAGGAGGTTTAAGAAAAGAAATAGAACTGAGAGTCAGACAGCCAGGGTCATAATGCCCATTTGACACTCAATAATTATGTGGCCCCGAGGGAGTGAAATAGTCTATTAGAATTTCATTTTTCTTATCTGTAAAATAAGCATTCTGAGATCATTTCTGAAAGCCAGCATTATACTCTATGATTCCAAATATGGAGATTAATAAATTCACAGTTCTTACTCTAAAATCAGTACATTGGGGAAGAGCAGAACTCAAACTATTATATCAATAAAAATATAAATGTGATACAATACCTGTGTGGACTTGGCCACTACCTTCACTGGTGGAGTTAACTTTTGGTTAACTGGCATAATGAACATACTGCATAGAACATACACATATTGTTTTCACTCTTCAAATGTCCTTGTTCTCACTCTAATGTTGGTAAAATATCTCACTGTCTATTGACTTTCCTAATAAAATGAAACATTTTTCTTTCTAGAATTTTTTTAAATGAATGTATGTCCACATAAAAAACGTTTACATTTTTTACTTCAAAAACTATAAGGTATAGGGCAGTATTAGATTTAGTATCTTTTCTAACTTAAAGGTCTTGTATATGGGAAATGAATTCATAAAGAGGCCAAAAATTGTGGGTGCATGCTGTATGAAAACAGTTATATTTGCAGCTTTAGAGGTTCCAGTGGGAATGCAAACCAATTGCTGGGGTTGCCTTTGATGGTGTCTGAATGAAATAATGGCAGGAAATCATATTGGAAACAATTAGCCTAGTCTAATTGTATTCTGTCTCATAAGGATACAGAGCATTCCCTTTGCTTGCTTGTGTTTGTTTAAAGAGGAAACAATGGGTAGACAAAGGCTGGGATACTATAAAACTTCAGACAATGTGGGTATAAACAACGACTCTTGTGAACTAGGAGAAAATCAGAAAGAATAGGAAAGATTGTTCTGCTTCCTACAGGAATGTAAGAAGAAGCTTTTGTATTAAATGGTAAAGAGCATTTGTATAGAAAGAAAATGGTTTTGATCATAGATTTTATAGCACCTAATTTAGCTTATTACTTTAACTTCTACTTAAGAGGATGGTATAATTTGCCAGGTCAGGGCCAGGGAACACAGGAAAAGGTCAATAAATAAAAACCAAGTATTTTAGAGTTTAATATGTATACACACACACACACACACACACATACATACATATCTAGGGGAAATCTAGTAATAATATTTATTTGAATTATACCTTACTCTCTTCATAACAGACAGGTTTTGGTTAGACATTTCAACTGCCTATTGCTTTGCAGACTCGATTTGAAAACGAAGAGGACTTATTCTGAGTCTGAGCTTCCTCCATCTAGAATTATGGAGAAGCAAAACACATGCTAGGCAAATATCCTTTTTATGTTCTTTAAATTCAGTGTAAAATAGCTGTTGGCTCTGTTTCAGGGCAATTGCTTTTGGAGTCTAAACTGGGGGAAAAACATAATATATGAGAAAGAGTGTGGCTTCTGAAGTGCAAAAAACTTACTATGTGACATTGAGCCCAGTCTTTTAACTTTTCTGAGCCTCATTTTCTTTCCCTATAAAATGGGACACATAATTTCTACCTCTTTCTGTCACTGTTATATGTACTACAGATTATATGTATAATCTCTAGGGCATAATAGGCACTGAATAATTAAAGCTAAAATTATTTACTCTTCTTTGTGTTACCTAACCTTTGGCAAGCATGTGAAACTATTATTATTATAATTAAACAATTACAATTTTATGCTAAGAGAAAAAAACACTTCTCTGATAGAAAATCCAATAAAGAAAATATTACCGAATCTCTCTTTTAGTTAAGACACAAGTGTGAGATTGATCTCCTGAATCCTAATGGGTTATCTTAACTGGCCAGAGCAGATGTGCTGAAATCATGGTTAAGTAGAGAGGCATTGTTGATCTACTGTTTCAAATGCTCAAAGTTGACAGATACTAAAGTTTGAAACCATACGCAAGACCTGCATAATAAGGCTGCCCCATAGTCTGGGAACATCCTAAAAGTGCATTAATAAGTGACTAGTACATTCACATAAAGGTTGTAAAAAAATTTTTTTTGTATGTATTCATATGGAAACATTTCTAGGATATATTAAGTAAAGGAGAAAAAGAGGAACGGATTCAGTCTGCAGTGTAGATATTTGTGTTAAAAATGATGATAATAATAATAATAATAAGGGATGTGGGAAGCTACACACACATCCACACACGCAAACACATGTATTTATATCTACAGAGTGCCCATGACATTAACAACATTGGTTCCCTGTGAGTAGGGGAAGAAGGTGGGGCTAGGGGCTGGGAAGAACATGTTCACCTATTTCATTTTTGAATTTAGGGTCAAAAGTATTTTATTAGCTAGAGATTTTTTTAACTTAAAATTCTAATTTGAAATAAAGCAATAAAATAAAATGGCTACTTCATTCAGCTGGCACCAGGTGATTACGAGACTCTAGGTATCAAGTCCTTTACAAGTCAACATGGCTACTGATTTCTGCGAGGGAGAGCCCAGAGCTGAGATGTGGCCGGGACAGCAGGTGCAGCCTGGGCAGTGATGGTGCAGAGAAGCAATAAGACAGATGTTAAAAGGCACTGCAAGCAATTCATTCAGCTTCTCCCACACTGCCACCAAAGGGTGAGAGCAACAACAGGTAGAAGGTAGGTATACCATGTGAGACTATTTTTAAAAACTCTAGAGTCTTACATCTGTTCACTTTCACTTATTTCATAGAATCTGTCAACATTCGAAAGATTGTCAAATTACAAGTTTCTCATTCAGCCAAATGAATTGGAGTTTAGAAAGACTGCTATAATGGCAAATTATTATTTCTATTTGTGTAAATTTGTAAATAGCAGGGGCATGGCAAACTGTGTAGGTCTGTGCTGACCTGATTGTTTCCACCTCTCCATTCCTATCATCACAATCCCTTTGTTAAAGTTAGAAAAGTTGAAGTCAGCTCTGTGTCTCTGATTATTTTACCACTCTGCTACATAAATATAGAGCACACAGCTACCCAGAAAGGAGGGTACTAGGCAGGAGTTCCCCCAAAAGCAGACCCTGAGACAAGAACTTGGATACAGTTTATTTGATACAAGGAAGGAAGAAATACCAATGAAGCATAGGTTACTGGCCAGGCCCGCATTGGCTGAGGGTTGCTCCTGGAGGTATTAGTGCTCTGGCACTTCTGGACTGCCCAGCTTGTGAGCTGAACAAACCTACCCAGGTGGAAGAGATCCTGAAGCCAGAGAAGCAAAGAAACACAGGCGCCTGAAATGGGGAACTGTCAGCAGCCCTGGGAACTGTCTACCACAGGGGCCATGGACTCACAGGGGGGTCATGGGCATGAGCCTGGGGCACTGACAGCAGCTGCTGCAGGGGGATAGGAGGACTCGATAGAGGAATATAAAGAGGATAAAGAAAACTTATAATGGAAGATATTGAGAGAGAGAAAGACAAAGGGGAGCAAAGGAAGAATGAATATAAGTATAAATTAGTGCAGAGGGGGCATATTTATTGAGACCTTGAAGAAGAATATCATTCTCTTAGGAGTTGACTAGCCTTAACACGTCTTTAAAAATTTTTATCTCAGTCTCTCGGGAGATGGTCATGGTCTTAACACTTTTAAGGAGAAAGTCTAGGTGGAGGAAAGGAAGAGGTATACTGGCAAGAGACAGAATACTGGAAACCCTGCATTTGCCTGTTGTCTCCTGCTGCTAAGAGAACCATTCCCTGTATATATTTCAACCTCTACCTAGTGTGGACTTGTAGGCTTGTGTACCTGAAATCAGATAAGGCTTCTAGAATAAGTATGATTAATGTCCAAATCCAACCTGGCTGGCAACCTTTAGCATGGTTGTCAGAGATAGGTGCACACTGTGATGAAAAATTGCAGGAAAAGATAAGAAAAATCAACCTTCAGTAATTTGATCTTTCAAATAATCCTCTAAGTTACCTAACTCCATGACTTAGAAAAATTAGGCAATACTATTGAAATTAATGAAGTGGAAACTCTTGTTTAAACATATTTGTGTTATTTATGTATTTGCTATTCTGTTCCTTAATGTCAAGTTTTATTTAAAATAAATTATTAAAGATTTAGATGAGTTAATTCTTTATTAAAACCTTCCAGTGAGGTATTGTGTATAATTTAAGTATACATCTTTCTATATTATTTCTGTGAAGTTTTTTAGAATCTCTGTGCTTATGCATGTGCATACAAAGAAAACCCTCAGTTCTGAGCTAACATGCAAAATTAACTTTTATATTGTTAACCAGCTGGCTTTAAAATTATTTCATGGAAATTCTCCTGAATAAAGGCTCTCTTAAGCTAATTAAACATATTAGAAACTAAATCTGAAAGTACCTCCTAGGTCAGCTAAGGCAATATTTCATTTGTAAAAAGATTTAAATAGATATGATTTAATCCATTAAAATTTATAAGAAACAGAAACTTATTTAAGTATAGAGCCAAACTCACCATGGGCAATGATGATCCATCTTTAAAATACATCTAGAAAACAAAACACAAAACCCAACAACCCACAAAATTTTAATCACATAAAATTATAAAAAGAAAATATAAATTGTAGTTATTTCAGAGTTGTGGCAAGTAAAATATTGCAAAATTATTTACTTATCTAAAAATTGAACAATAGCAAAAGTTCTCACTTAAACACTATAGCCAATTCTGTGTATGATATAATGATAGAACTTTAAATTCAAAAATGTATGCTTTAGGATGTAAATCAACTCATTTTCTAAAAACGATATAATATGGTAATATACAACAACCTTATGCTAAAGAAAGTATGAAACATCAACAGATTTACAGAAAATCTGGATAAAACTTTTTCTTGGCTATCAATTCTTAAGCCAAGTAATACTGTCCTTGTAGGATATTAAACATTAATATATAACAAAATCTGACTGTCATAAAATCATCTGGGTTATCTTTACAAAGATGGGAAACACTCACAGAAGAAGTATTGCTAAATTGAACTAGCCAAGTCAGAACTGCTAAAAATCATGCACTTCTTGTCATTGTGAATCTGGAGGAAAATTGATCATGGCCCTACGCCACACTGGTATAAATGTAAGTGATTATACCAATTATATTTTCTAAATAACGATCTGAGAAGTGTGAATAAGGAGAAAAGGAGATAATCTGGAAAACAGTGAGGAAAAAAACCCCACACTGAATAAAAAAGACCACCAGCATGTAGATATTTTAGAAGTAAAAGGTTCTCTTACTTATCACAGACGGAACAGTGATGGCAGCGATCTGGTTTTATGAGTTGGCATCTGTCACAATAACGGATTGCTAGGAATAAAAAGCTCCACTTAGTCTTGGATTTAACATTGAATTGAATATACGGTTAAATGGCTTCTATCATCTCTCCAAATGTAAATTCTAAAAAGCATACAGAATTCAAAGTTGGTAAAAATAAGATATTTGACTCTGTTCAAATACAAAAATGGAATGACTTGCCTACAGCCATAGTTCTCTGGAGACGTTTGCTAAGAACAGAAATTTTTCTAAAGCATTCTCAACTGCCAGTGGTTATAATGAGGCTCACAAAGGGTACAAATATGTCCATTTCTATCACAGCGATCAGAATGTTTCCCTCAATTAAACCAATTCATTTCCTGTACCCTGCTATGTACCAAAAACATTTTAAATTGGACTGGGCATTAAGTGACCAGGTTTTTGCACCTTGTACTGTCAATAACTAGCTTTGGAAACTCAGGCAGGAACTTATTTCTAGGGGGCTTAAATTTCCTCAATATTTGTTTAGGCTTATAGAGTAAATATATCTACTCATACATAAGCACATCTCTGTCTTTGTGAGATAAAACCAGTGTCAGGAAATTACCACTTGATCATCAAGAAACAATGAAAAGAACAGCATAAAAAGTACATGTGAGACTTAGATTCAGTTATGATTCTAAACTGTTAGAAACAAAAATAAATAATATAAAAATGTTAATGAGACATTTTATATTCTTTTATCATACTAAGTCTTTGAAACCACTGTGTATTTTACACTTAAAACACATCTCAATTTGAACTGGCCATATTTTAAGTGCTCAACAGCCACGTGAGACTGGTGGCTACCATAATTGGCAGCAGAAGTTTAAAGTCACAAATTTCTGGGTGAGTCTTGGTCGGCAAGTATCAATAGTCCATGTGCGTCAGTTGTTTAGTTGAATAGTTAATAAGTTACCTCAAAAATATGACCCAAGTAAGAGATTTATTAATTTAGTTGCATTTGTAAAAAAAAAAGTTTTAGTATAAATTTTAAAGCTGGATAAAAAAAACTGTGCCCATACCTAATTGAAGTTTTACATAATTTATATAATTAGTTTTAAACTTATGAAAAATACCCGTGAATATATTAATTTTATATGCACTGTAAATACTGCTCTCTTACATTGAATATCAATAGGTATAATTAAAACTTTAAATGTCAATACTACTACATGTCGAGATTTCTGCAGTTTTTACATCTTCACTGAGTCACAACTAAGTAGGCAGAATAGAATGAAAGTTCCAATTTAGTTGGGATCGCTTTGCCACAGTGTTTGTTATTCATGTTTCCATTCTACTTTATAGAATTGTACAGGAAAGATTTAATAGCAATCTAAGAAACAGCACAATATTTTGAAATGAGTGTTTGACAATTTCAAGGATATAAATATGGTTTCTAATAGTCGCTGTAACCCACTATGTGGATATTATTACAAAGCACACCCATCATGGATGCTGACCTCCAGACATGGTCCTGGTATAGATGGGAAGGTCTTTGGCTGCCCGCCTAAGAACTTCCTGATGGGCTTCTCCTCTTGGCTCTCTTTCCAACAACTCTTTCTCTGCATAAGAGAGATGGAACTGGGGAATAAATTTAAATTTCAATCAGTATTTATTTTCAAAAAAACTACAACATATTGGTCTACTCTACCATGCCCAGTAAAAAGTATTTATAAAGTATTAATGGCAGACAGCATACTCAGAGAGATAACAGGGTCTGAAATCTCAGCAAGTCTGTTAACCTCACAGGTCATTAGTTTATGCATCCAGAAAAAATATATAATATTAATACAGTAATATCTGCTTCCTCAGATGTTTATATAACTAAAAAGGAATAGAATACATAAAAATGCTTATAAAACTATAGAGCTCGATCCAATATTATTACATTAATAGATAAAATGGCCCAGTAAATAGCTCAATGAATGAATTTTTCGTTGGGATATCATTTGGAACAAAAGGAGAAACAAATCCATCAAGTGTAGATTCTCATCTAAGTGAGTTTGAACTCAGGGATAACCATTTCATAAACTCTCCTCCAGTGCTCAAAAGAACTAATTATTCATTTTACTTTTTATTATGCCAATTTGGCCCAACTAATTAAAAAATATTTATTTGACAAAAACTGAACATTTGTTTGGACTCCTACTGAATAATACACACTTACACACACAAATAGCTAAGTTTGTATGAACTTCTATAAATGTGTTTCAGGAGACATGCATTAAGAATAATCACAGCATCACTGTTTGAAATAGAAAAAGCTAAACATAACCCAAGTGTCCATCAAAAGGATAATGGATAAATAAACTGGAATATGATATATCTAAATAATGGAACACTGCTGACACTTAGCAATTAATGAACTAGAGCTGTCTATAACAAAGGACAGACTCTCAATATATTGTTGAACATAACAAATCATCTTACAGAACATATAGAGAATGCTTCCATTCATATAAAAATTTTAAACCAGCAAGCAAAGCAATATATACATTATTGCTGAGGGATACATATATGTGATAAAATTATAAAGGAAAACAAAGAAATAATTAACATAAAATACAGGATAGTTGTTGAGGAATCAAAGGAAATATGACTAGAAAGTTCACAGGAGATATGGAAAATATAAATGTTGTATATATATTGGCTAGGTGATGGCTCAGTGTTTTCATTTAATTATTCATTAAATTGTGCACCATATATACTTTCGGTATGATTAAAATATTTTATAGTTTTAAAAATGTTTTTAAAAAGAGATATAAGTATGTCAATGAAAGAAGGAAAAACAATTTGATGAAAATTAGGGCCTGATATTTGAGCCTAAATCTTTATTTTCAGAGAAATAAAATGTTAAAATCTTTGTGTAGAGATTAACAATTCTACTGAGATTATTTTCAAAGTAGAAACAAATCTCCAGCCTTCTATTGTACATAGTTTTTAAATTACCATAATATTCCTGTATGCATGACTTTCTGTTTCCTATCGTCATAAAATTTCGGACCCATTATGGTAAAAGAAAAGAAAAAAGAAGTAGAAGATTTACATACTATGAATTATCCTAAATTAGTATATCCAATTTGCTAGCATTCAACTAGTAGATATGTTAATTATAAGTTTCTAAAGTATTTGGAAAAGTATTCTCTAGGTGATTCCTCCTGCTGTAAGTTCACATTTCCTTACCTATTATTTTCATAGTGTTTCAAATTACATTTCAACCTCTCCTTTTTCAAATGAACACAAATAATAAATAGTGAAGACCACATTTATGAAACCTTGTGTATTTTTTCTATCAGCCTTAAATCTTTGGGTACAAAAATTGAAGTATATTTATGCAACTATTCTGTTAGAATATATGTCATAAGGTGGTGTGTAGCTATGAGGAGTGTTGAGTGTGGAAGCCCAGGAAAGGGCAATACTGGCTAATCCTAGAGGCTGGGCAGGAGTAGCAGCAGACCTACGTAGCTTGGAATCAAAGAAAAGGTTGGGAACCACATTTCCAACAAGTGGAAAACTATTTCCTAATTGGATAATGGATTCCTAGGATTCATTCCATTGTTTTAAAAGTTTCTCCAGAAAAAAACTTTAATGGGAAGCTGATGTTAATGAGAATGTTATTACCCTTCATATCTTAGTAACCAAATTTAAGAAAGGAGAAAGAAAAATTCAAATTGTTTATTTACATGCAATCATATTGGTTTATCAGAGGACTTACCAGCTTTTCTTTCTTACTTAAAAATTCTAGGTTGGGGTACAAAGTACAGTTAAATAAAAGAATAAGATCTAGTGTTTAGCACAAGATCTAGTGTTTAGCACTAGTGGTAGCACAATAGGGCAACTATAGTAGTTAACAATAATTTATTATATATTTCAAAATAACTAGTGGATTTGGAATGTTCCCAACACAAAGAAATGATAAATGTATGAGGTGATAGATATCCCAATTACCCTGATTTTATCATTACACATTGTACAGTTATATCAAAATACTACATGCACCCTATAAATATTAATATGTACAAGTATTATGTATCTACAAATTTTTTTTAAAAAGATAAGAAGATGAAGGAAAAGTTCTAGGTTGGGTATCATTTATCTGTAGATGACACTACTTTTAAAGTTAAAAATGTGTTCATTATGCTGGGCATGGTGCCTCACGCCTGTAATCCTAGCACTCTGGGAGGCCGAGGCAGGAGGATTGCTTGAGGTCAGGAGTTCTAGACCAGCCTGAGCAAGAGTGAGACCCCATCTCTACTAAAATAGAAAGAAATTAGCTGGACAACTATAAATATATAGAAAAAATTAGCCAGGCATGGTGGCACATGCCTGTAGTCCCAGCTACTCAGGAGGCTGAGGCAGAAGGATTGCTCGAGCCCAGGAGTTTGAGGTTGCTGTGAGCTCGGCTGATGCCATGGCACTCTAGCTCGGGCAACAGAGTGAGACTCTGTCTCAAAAAAAAAAAAAGAAAAGAAAAGAAAAGAAAAAAATGTGTTCATTGGAGACTTGGAAGGGTGGGAGAGGGATTGGTTATGAGAAATTACTTAACGGGAACAATGTACACTATTCCTGTGATGGATGCACTAACAGCCCATACTTTACTACTATGCAATAAATCCAGGTAACAAGATTGCACTTGTACCCCTTAAGTAGACACAAATAAAACAAACAAACTAATTAAAAATGTGGTGTTAACTGTTTTGAAGGGAAAAAAAAAACACTGACAAACACATATACATACGGATGGTCTTAATAGAAGTGAGTATCTTGTTTGGACATATTTGTTTGGTATAAAAGGAATTAACACCTTTTATACTGAAAATGATGTTGTAATGCTGGAACAGTCAATAAATGGCAGAGTCATTCTAGAGAAAATATCTGTCAACTTTGCACATGCTGATTCCTCTTCCCAGAATGCTATTCCTCACACTCTTTCTATGGATGGCTCCTTTACATTTGGTAAATTTCTGCCTAAATGACATCTTCTCAAAGAACTTCTGTGATTCCCTTACTACAGGGTACCTGACCATTTTGTGCCTTCCCCTGCCATACCCTATCTCAGGTCCATGTGTGCTCTTTGTGCGACACGCCACAATCTGAAATTATTTTGTTTGTTCATTTGTCCTTCGCCCCTCCCTCCCCTAAGCCTTTAACTCCACGAGGGCAAGGCTCAAGTCCTGAACACGTTAAGTGCTCCATTATAACTGTGTAATGCAAAAGGAGCAAACACCAGGAGGCGCAGGTCATATCACTGCATATAAAAAAAATAGTCCTTTTATATGCTGGTCTCACAGATATGGCAGTTTTCTGGCAGGTTGATACATACTATTTTGTTTTTGTTTAAATGTTGTTTTTTTTTTTAAAAGAACATTTTAGATTTACAGAAATATTGAGAAAATACAATAAAGTTCTCATATATAAACTTCACTAAATTTCCCATAGTAACATCTTGCCTTATATGGTACATTTGCTACATTAATGAACCAATATTAATACAGTATTATTAACTAAAGTGCATAGTTTATTCAGATTTCCTTAGTTTTTACTGAATATCTTTTTTCAGTAAATACTCTGCCTCATTGAGGGCAGAGTATTTATAATGTTTATTATATACTTTGGGTTATAATCCAACACTACTTTATTTGTATTGCTCAAAATGTTCTAGCTTTGCTATTGGGAATTATTTCAGTTAGCTCCTGTGCCCCTTTGATAAATCCCCATCATTTTTTTTCTTTTTAAGCACTTCCATACTTCCCGGCAATACAAGATGCTCCAAGCTCATCTTGACTATTTCTTACCACAGTCCTAAAACCAGCCATTTCTCAAAGGAGCATGCCTTCCTTTTACTGGAAAATGTTGTTAAAAACCAAGATCTGGCATATATATAGTTTTTAGATTAAAGGAGAGTATAATTTTAAAACAACATGCAAAGTAAGGAAACAAACTCAGATCTAATAATACATAAACAGAAAATTCACAGATCTGTATTTTCTTTTTTACTAGTTGTTTTTCATTTAGGACAAAAATAAAAATAATCTCACTACTATCTAAAATGTACATACTAAAACATAAAAATTTTTTTGCCTTTTAAATTGGCAACAAAGAGTTTCTTAATAACACCATGAAATGCCAAGGGTCTGATTAAACTGTTAACATCATAAAGTGCTACGATCCATTTGGGAAACAATTTGGCAAATGACTTAAATTTTCTTGGTCTAGTAATTCCATAACTGATAATTTTTATTAAGGAAATAATCCAAAATATGGGTAAAGCTCTATGTACAAACATGTTAGTAACAGCATTATTTATAATATAAAGAGTTAGGATCAGCCTAAAAATACAATTTGAGATGAGACTGATAAATTTTTACATATTTCAGTGAGGATATTATGTAGTTATTAAAAATGGCAATAAACCAAAGAAGGATTAATTTTAAAATATTGGAGCAGGTGTGCTCTAAACACAAAAATAACTAGAAAGAAATTCAAAATGTAAATTAGCTGAATTAGTGCGATAGAATGTTTTTTTCTTTTTGTCTAGTCTCCATTTTCAAAATATAACATAGTATAGTTATATTACTTTTATCTTGGAGAAAATCTGACAAATTGAAAACTATTACCAACTTAACAATCTTGCTATGAACAAGGTAAATTTTAATTCATATGTTCTAGATTTCTTATATTCTCTCCATAGTGAAAAGAAAATATTAGCAAATATTGCTTCTTCTCCTACTTCTTTAGCCCACTTTTGAAAAAAATTTTAGCAGCTGAGGGTGCTTTCTTGTCCATTTAAGTCCAAGATTCTCATTTTACAAGTGAGGGGTCTCTGGCAGCTAATCAATTAAAAGAGTTGCCCAAGATCTTACATTTTATTAATGGAATAATCTAAGATTCTCAACCACAAAAAAGGGCTCTTTGTGCCCCATAATGGTCTCCAAACTGTTGATCACATATCCCATCCATAAAACATAATGTGAGACTATGCCATTCATATATAGGTATTATTCATTCATTTATTTATTTTTAGAGACAGGGTCTTACTCTGTCACCCAGGCTGGAGTATAATGGTGCGATCATAGCTCATTGCAGCCTCTAACTCTTGGGCTCAAGTGATCCTGTCACCTCAACCTCCCAAGTATCTAGAACTACCAGCGTATGACACCATGCCCAGCTAACTCTTTTTTTTTTTAATTTTTTGTAGGGACAGGCTCTTACTGTGTTGCCCAGGCTGGTCTCTAACTCCTGGCCTTAGGCTACCTTCTTGCCTTGGCCTCCCAAAGGGCTGGGATTATAGGCATGAGCCACTGTACCTGGATGAGTATTTATTTATTGATATATATACTATCAGCTAATATATTATGTACCTTATATGTAGAACTTTTTAAAAATAGAAACATTAAAATAATTACACACACACACATATTGCTATTTTTCCCCCATGCTCAAATTGATGTCCTGGGTACACCACCCCACTGGTATCTATTCCCCATACTAGAGCATGGTATAGTGAAAAGAGTGTGTCCTTAAGAGTCAAAAGGGCTGTGGCTTGAAACTTAGCTCTCTCCCACACACTGGTACTAGATGCCTTAGGATAATTACTTAATGGTCAAAGCCAATGGCTCCATCTGTAAGAGGGTAATAAATATTATCTATCCTACCCAGTCGTGTGAATTGAACAAGGTATGTCTTTTATAGAATAATCACCCAACAAAGCCTGGGTCAGTCATAATTCCACTGTCATCAATTTTGACTGCTCTTTCCACAGTGTGTTCTTTTCCTGTGTTTCTGTATCATTTTCCTTTTCCCTTTTGTCCAATCACTATTTCAAACCCTCTCTACTTTCCCAAACCTCAATTAACCCACCTCCCTCTTCCTTCTTAGCCACTGATCGCACATATAATTTTAGGGAGAAGTTAGAAGTCACCTCAACTTCCTGCCAAAGCTATAAACATAAACCTGCATCTGTACACATAACTCCTTCCCTACTTTCTTTCAGTCATTCACCAAATCTTTATTGAGCACCTTTTATAGGTCAGACAGTGCTGTTGGCACTGCTGATGAAGTAGCGAACAAAGCAGATAGATTTCTTACCCTTGTAGAACTTAGAAGAACTTAGTGATGGTGCACAAAAAAGTAATAAACAAATAAATATAGAATGTGCTACAGGATGGTAAATGGTATGGAGAAAAATAGAGCAAGGTAAGGTATACAGCGAATGCTGGGAGCAGGGGTTTGCTGTTTTATACAGAGTGGTCACAGAAAGCCTCAACGATAAAGGCACCATTTGCACAGGGACATGAAGAAAGTGAGGGATCTTGCTTGTCTTTTGAAAGGATCACTCTGGCTACGGTGTTGAAAATACACAGAAGGAGGCAAGGACGAAAGCAAGGAAACCTGTTAAGAGGCTACTGCAAATAAAAAAAATGAGACGATGGTAGCTTGGACCAGGGTGGAAGCGGTAGAGGGCATGAGCTCACACCGTGGCTGTATTCTGAGGGCATGGCCTATAGAATTTGCTGACTGATTGGATGTGGGGTATGAGAGAAAGAGAGTGACCAAGCACCACTCCAAGGTTTTGAGCCTGAACAGCAGAAAAGGTAGAGTTGTCCATCATTGACATGGGTAAACTTTAGGAATAAGAGAATTGGGAAGGTGGGTGAGAAATCGGAAGTTTGTTTTCAGTGATACTGAATTTGAAATTCCTAGTACATGTCAAATAGTAACTGGAAATGAGTCAGGAGTTTAGTAGGGAGGACCAGGCTAATGTATTAATCTGAGAGCTATAGCACAGGAATGATACATAAAATTATAAAACAAAATGAAATGGTCTATGCCACCATCATCTCTCATTTATTGTTTTAATTTTTTAAAAAAATCCCAAGAAGTCACTACACTCAGTAAGTTTTGCAAGATTAGAAAAAGAATAAAACTCATTCTTCAGACATCGGTATTACTAATTTCTATCTTTAGAATAATTTTACTAATGTTTTAACTTACTTCTTTTGAAGGATTCATTGGTAATGTAAAGATAGTCTTCCAGTACGACCAGACAAACATTGCAAAAAGCAGATGATAGGCCATCAGGCACACAACTAAAATGAGAAAAACACAATTATCAGTGTAATATGGAAATACATACTAAAATCGTGGTGTTCACAAGAGATCTACTTGTTCTACAATAATCAAATTTTAATTATAATACATTATAAATGTTCCTTCACTTCATATGAGAATAAGCACAATTCAGTGAATATATATCTAAAGCCAAGAGTTTTTTTAGAAATTCCCTAAATGAATAACTAGATCTATGCCCATGGATAGAACCCTCCCATCTGTAAACAGACCCATCTATTAGAAAAATGACTAACAAGGACCTTTCCTGAATTGTAAAAATAAGGTAGTTATGCCTCCAACTTTAAAGAGCAAGCATAGCATTAAACACATGTTAAAACATTCAGGCTTTAAGAACTTTGTTTTACTGACACAGATAACACAAGCAGTTCCTAATTGAGTAGCTGTTTGCTTATTTGCTTGGCTCTAGTCAAAGCTAGTGTAATGACAACCTATCTAAACAGAGAACATCTGTACAAAGAGATTTCCTCCAAAGGGAATTCAAGTGTCTTGTTTAGCACATGTGATAATTATTAGAAAAATAGTTCTGGATACTTTTTTCAGATACTGTATATAAATACACTCTGTGTGGTGTTTCAAAGTCTTGAAGTACTATGCAAATTTAAAATAATAAAATTAGGCCGGGCGCGGTGGCTCAAGCCTGTAATCCTAGCACTCTGGGAGGCCGAGGCGGGCGGATTGCTCAAGGTCAGGAGTTCGAAACCAGCCTGAGCAAGAGCAAGACCCCGTCTCTACTATAAATAGAAAGAAATTAATTGGCCAACTAATATATATACATATAAAATTAGCCGGGCATGGTGGCGCATGCCTGTAGTCCCAGCAATTCGGGAGGCTGAGGCAGAAGGATTGCTTGAGCCCAGGAGTTTGAGGTTGCTGTGAGCTAGGCTGATGCCATGGCACTCACTCTAGCCTGTCCAACAAAGTGAGACTCTGTCTCAAAAGAAAAAAAAAAAAATAATAATAATAAAATTAATGTTTCATTCTGAATAGCACATTAATATATAACTGAATTCTGTAAGGTATAGTTGAATAAAATGTGCTAATTTAAAATATAGCATGTTTCATATTTTAAAACTTTAATAGCAATTTTTAATTTTTGTAATGAATGATGATATATTTTTAAAGAATGACAGTCATTGAAATTCTGAATTATTCAATAAGGCATTTAAATCAGTGTGAGATGACTACAGCCAATGATATTTTTCATAAATTATGCAGGTGTCTCAGTTATGGGATAATATTCTGAGTTGGGAAAGGACATTGCTGATATCCCTGTACCTCAAAGCCATAAGAATCTTCGGCACAATTACCACCCTTTTGGGGTAGAGTTCTTTGCCAAGTGTCTGACAGTCTGGGGACTTAAAGGCATGAGGTGTTTTTAACCCTATCTTATCCCCACATTCTCAAAGAATAATTTATTAATCCCAATCAAATCTAAAGAAATGCAATACATTTTTAAAGCTATTATAAAATTTTATATCTGTAACAATAATATATTTTACCTTGTTCGCCAATGTTTTCCATGGACACTGTAGAAATAAATAGATAAAAAGATAAATAAATAGATTAAATTAAAAAGATAAATAATAGGTTATACAAAGCTTAGAGCAAACATAGGGCCTGACAGAGACAAGGCATTTAAATAGCATAGCAATTTGGCTTCCCTTCAAAGCAACATTCTTTAAATATTTGCTCAACTTTATTTCCAGAAGAAGCAGCACCAAGTGAATAGGGTGGAGGAGAAGTCTGGTACCGCAGTCACCCTGCCTCTATTGTACACTTTGGCCCTGTCTCCCACGCAGCAAAACCAACCCCTTCACGTGTGCCTCTTGTCTTACTCCTATGTCGTTTGGTTTATTGGTTTTCCTTCCAACTACAGAGTTCAGATAAAAGCAATACTCTCCAGGTCATTACATTTCCAGACACATTTATTGCTCTTTATAAATTGGCAACCACCTGCTTAGCTTTCTGCAAAAAAAAATAAAACGTTGTGTCCAAAGCGCATTCTCTTTCTTCCTTTCAAATTTCTGTAAGTACAAATTCTTATGCCCAGTGTCTCTCATTGCTCCCCATTCCAATGAGGGGCCCAAGCAGAGCTGGGAAACTGCCATTCCTTAGCAGCTGCTGTAAATAGTCCAAGGTTGCAGGTAGATTAGGACACGGGCCACAATGGCTAAAACAAGCTGGGACAAGAAACTGTATTCAGTAATTGAGACAGTTTTCTTACCTTTTTGTATTGTCTGTTTGTTTTGCTTTCCATTTGGTCTTCCTCTGCTTAAACTGAAGTCTTTTGGAAGTTTTGGACTGTTGCAGTTGTACCAAGGGAAGGTTTGTTTATGGATTTTTTTTTCCTTATTCAGCCTTTTAAGGGGGTGCAGGATTTTTTTTTTTTAAGAGATGGGTCTCACTCTGTCACCTAGGATGGAGTGCAAGTGGCAGGATCATAGCTTACTACAGCCTTTAACTCCTGGACTCAAACGATCCTCCTGCCTCGGCCTCCCAAATAGCACATGCCACCATGCCTAGTTAATTTTTAAAATTTTTCATAAAGACAGGGTCTTGCTATGTTGCCCAGGCTCATCTCGAACTCTTGGGCTCACACAATCCTCCTGCCTCAGGCTCCCACGCTGCTGGGATTATAGGGGTGAGTTATTGTACCCCCCAGTGGGGTTGAGGATTTCAGGCCTTAATTCTGAAATGTCATCGCCTTAGGAAGCACTGGCACCAGAGAGTAGTGTGAGAGATTTTTAAGATCCAATTAACCTCCTTCCTCAGAGAGCTACTGAATGTAAGTTTAGGTACTTCTAGAGCCAGTAGGAGCTCACAGATTTGGAGAGCAGCCCATCCCATTATTGGATTGCTCTAAGAATGAGAAAATTCATTCTTATAGTATGCTGAAATTTATCTCTTTGTAGCTTCTACCTGTGATATCTAGGCTTCCAACTGATAACAATAAACAGAAAATCTAAACAACAGACCTTCACACATTTAAAGTCACTGTGTCCCCCTTAAATGTTCTCTTTTAGTCCAAACAACATACGATTTCCAGATCTCTCACCAATCTTGACGTGACATCTTTCCTAGGTTCTCACGTCCCTTTAACATTTCTGAGACCCAGAATGGGGCAGGCAGGCATCGATAATCTTTGACTTACAAATGGCCTGTTCTACAAGTTTGCTTTTAAGTCAGAGGCCAGAGTTCACTTTCTCATAGAGTCCCTTAAGTGGCTAGCCAGAGAGCACAGGTAAGACCTTCGGCAAGCCTGTTTTTTACATACAAACCCACCATCACGTTAATGCATTTCTCTCTAGGCAATGACTTCCCTGTCTTTAAAAGCGCTCCAAAATTAACAGCAATTTAAAACCTCTAATCCTTCAGTGCACCTAATCCAAGGAAATGAAAAGCAATTTGTCTCCATTTGTGCATTTATGTAAAAACGGACCCTTAATGACCCTTCCAGAGGGCTGTTGCTTTAAAGAAAATGTGTTTGGTAATCCATGACTCTAGCTGTCAGAATTGAAAACAGTACAACAAAAAGTTTTTTTGAAAAAAAAGGTACAATTAGCACGAGGTCATAATCTTTTTGACCTGGACCACTACTCTATTAGCTAGATATACATTCAAAAACATCTTTTTCAAAAACTATTTTATATGCCATTCACAGCTTGTTTTTTTCCCTAAATGTCCTTCAAAATCCACAGATGCCCTATTTTATTTTAAAATTAAACAAGTTATCCATATGTACATGCTTAGTGTAAATAATTGTGATAACATTTATGGGATGAGATGTGAAAGTCCAAAAAGGATGTATCCAATTATACTCCCACCAAGATCATAAGCTTAACCAATTGTCTGTAAACATAAGTCTTTTTAATTTTCCTTAACATCATAGGACAAAATAAAAATCATTGTTTTAGTATTCATTTCTCTTATTACTAGTGAAGTTTAGCATTATTTTAAAAATGTAATGATTGGCTTTTCCTATCTCTTCTGAGTGAATTATCATTTTCCTATTGGCTTGTCTTTTAGTTATTGAAAGTGTTTTATATATTCTGGACAGTAATCCCATATCTGTTATATATATTGCAAATAAAGTCGTATGTAACTAATTTAAATGATTTAATAAATAGTAGCAAAGTTTTATGACTTATCACTGATAAAATAACAGTATCCCAATTTTTAAATTGACTTAGTTCATTGATAGATAAATGGGCTATATTAGATTTTGCTTTATGATCCTTAGGAAATGAATGTTCTCTCAACCATGTTTACTTAATTAGTAGGTTAGTAATTCACCTTGCAATTTTCAGTTTAATGGCAAAGTTGTCAAGGTCAAAGTTTCCTTTTTCATTGTGTAAAAACACATAAAATAAAATATTGTTGTCAAATGCAAATATTTTTGTTCACAAGTGCTATTTAAGAAAAGGTTGCTATTTAGCCTCAAATGTTTTTCAAATATTTATGTATACAAAGATAATATATGGAAAATATACACTCAATTTTGAAAATATATAGATAACTAAATATAATTTGATTATTTATATCGATATAAAAATTAAATGGCAATACTGAACATAATTATAACAGATCTTCCAAATATAATTATTGGATTTTAATGTGAATTTTGAGTTTTAATCCAGTATTATTTAATTTTATTATTTACTTTACAGATAGAATTTCAGTTTGGTCTATTTAAAAATTATGCTAATACCTATTCTTCAACTGTACCACAGAGAAATTTCCAGTGTTGTAGATCCATCTTTATCACATTTTCTTTAAACCAGCTATTGAGATAAATTAACATAATTATTTCTATTTTTTATTAAAAGAAAACTGAGCTTTACTCAGTTTTTATTAAAGCAAATGAGCTTTACTCAAAGCTGCAATGAGTAGCACATTAATTAATTCTATCCTAGAAATCCTTTTATATTCAATTTTAAAATTTTATGCATGTGACAAAAATGTTGTTATTTTGGGCTCTGCTGGATCATATTAAAATTAATTCCTCATTAAAGCACAGTAACTGGCCTACAGCATCTGCCTCATAAATGTTTACAGAATAAAAGATTGATTTAGAAAAACAGAAGAAAACACAACTCATTTGAATCATGCTGAAGCCTGTAATCCTAGCGAGGATCGCTTAAGGTCAGGAGTTCAAGACCAGTCTGGGCAACACAGTGAGACCCCCATCTTTACAAAAAAATTTTTTTCAAAGTGGAAAAGGTTGAGGGAGACACTGACTTCAACTGGGTTTCAAGCAATTTTGAAAACAGAAAGGTTCTGTAAGTTTACAGGGGTTTCCCCTTCCCCCAGTTTTGGTTCTTCCTTAATATTTTGCTTTGTCATAGTTTAATTTGTCAGAATTAAAAAGAGACTATTACTAAGCATGATAGTACTAATGAGCAAATACCCTGGATAAAGACAAAGTTCAATCCCACCTGCTAGCTATTCCACTTATGCCATCATAGAATGAGTATAATAATAACAGCAGCAATATTATTAGAATTGTGAGAATGAAAGGAAGGAACATAAGAATGTACTTCACATAGTGCCTGGCACACAGGAAGCCCCATAAATGTGCAAACAATTATAATATATACTATTTAGCTTTGCAAATGCTAACTGTAATATGTAACATATAGGAAACGAGACTGAAAATGAAGAAAAAAATTACCAAAGGAAAGTAGTATTTGTACAGGCTTTTGAAAGAAATAAATGCCGAATTTGGAATGACAGTAGATTCACAAGTGAAAATAAAAGGTGAAAAATAATTTAAGTCTCAATTATAAGTAAATTGCCTTTTTTAAAAAAGATGTGTCACTTCAGAAACTTGTTTAGTATAAACAAAAAAGGTGGTATTCAACCTCAACATAGAGTAAGGATGACACATAAAACTTCGGTCGTGATGTGACAGTTTTCGTGAGAACTTCTCTTAAAAGTACCTATTTTGAATGTGGCAATGTTTAAATTAATGAATAAAAACAATCACTTTTTTTTTTTTTTGAAAAAGGCCTATATCTTATATTTACCCCAAAGAATTCAGATGCAATTTACTCTTGGGAATAAGAACACTACTGTTACTACACTAAAATATTTACTATTTGTACATCTGGTAGATGGTACTATTTATACCGCCTAAATGCATACAATAGTAACACTGTGGACCACAATGTCGATCTTCAAAAATTTATTTGCACAAGTTTATCTTGGATTAGACTGTTTCTTTCTGGTCCATGTCCTACAATGATAATGTTTCGATTTGGCAATTTCTAACCTTCCAATATACCTCCAGAACTTAAAACCTTTCCCTGATTAATCGTGGTACAGGAATTGCAGCACTTTGTTGGCACTGATGGCATATAGGAAGAGAGAAAGTGGGAATGGTGAATTAAGTATGTTCCTGTTTGCCAAGAGCAACATTAAGGCCTTGAAGCATTAACATCTTGGAATCTGGAACTGTCACAGATACTGCAAGGCTGGCAGCTTGGGTTGCCAGTTCGATTTTCTGGCTACCTTCTCCTCACCCCCT